CTTTAATAATATGTTATGTTTTAAAAACAAGATCATATGAAATGTTTTTATATCATTATCCCATTTCCGGTCAAATTTGGTCTTATCTCTAAATGGGACATTTTAATATGAGGGATCTCGTAAGTAATCATGACTTATTAAATTATAATTATATTATTTGTATCATTGTGTCGAACATGTCGATGTACATAGTAAGCAATGGCTACTAGGAATAATATTAAAAATATTTACATGTCGAAGTCGCCATGTTATTCAATACCCGTCGAGATCTAAAATTATCCAAAAGAGAACCATAATGCATTTATACTTTCTCTTTGTTTGCTTACACTTGAGTATATTAACATGAACTATAAATTAACTTTAACTTTTAATAAACTATAACGAAACAATAAGTTTATCACCAAAGACTTGATTTATAATTTATTTGCAACTTGTATTATTTGCTTTGTATATCATAATAACCAGTCTATCTGTAGCACAGAACTGGAAAAAAGATGTCTGTAGAGTCGCTTTGCTGCTGTGGCCATAGAGCAAATGCTCGCCAGTGATTTCTTAAAATATTTAAAATAAAAGAAAACTCCATCCACCCCTATCAGTAACCGTGATAGCTGAGTGTACCTAAATAATTTAATAATCCGCCCACAGAAACCGACTCACATTTCTACTAATGTTTAGGTACTACGTATTTCCAGAGATTTTGAAACAGAAAGAATGCACTTCTGCCCTCATAATTTCTACATCATATTATATTTCATAGTTAAAATTCACTAAGCAATTGAAAAAAGTACAAAAGTTGTTAATGTATCAAAGAAACTCTATGTATTAGACATTTTTATGAACTTTATCAAATAGAAAATAGGTATTTATCTAAGACTCATTTTAACTCAAGCCAAAAAGTACCTAATAAAACGGGATACAGTTAACTTTTGCATTATTAAATAATATTTTGGATGTCTCTTTGACACAAGAGAAGCAAAAATGTAACGAGTTTAATAATAATAATAGGGAAGAGTAAATAATATACTAAAAAAAATAATAATAATAATTTATTTGCGTTTGAATAGGGTATACATAAGAGATGTAAAGGTTTTGATTAAGTTTATAATAATCTTAGTTGAAGAGTAAAGAAAGTGACTCGATAGCAACGCATTGTATTAACAAACGACGTGTGCTAATACAATATCAGATATAATTGTCTGGATCAAATCAACACAGGTGATTTTAAGCATTCATTACACTGATGCCATAATGGCAGAACAGATGCTTTGAAGAAATTTTATTTATTTTATTATAATTGTGGTGACGATATGGAAATTAATCGCAGCTTTGTTACCTTGATAATAATAAATAAAAAATAACCTTTGTATAGGTGCTCGATATAAACACATAGAAATTTATATATCTATAGTGATTATTATAATGAATTTAACATTCACAATTTTATCATAATACCTATAATATTCGTCATAAAAATTGAAAATAACAATATCAAGAATAAAAAAATAACTCAGAAAAAAGCTTTTAAGAGACCATCCCATGCAACAAAAAAATATTCTTTGCGCAGTTTATATTTTCCCACGATCAATAAGCTCGTTATAGCTCTCCAAGTTAAAAATAAATCAGTACGGAAAATAAATGTTTTGCTACCTAAGAAGCCTCTGGAGTTTGATTATGATATTACTGAGGACCTGTTGAGGATCCAAAAATAGCATATCAATCTCACTGACTCTGACTCATACTATCTATTCGTCATTACACAGAAGCTGACAGAAACCAATGTTAAAATAGTACGAAAATGACGTTTATAAAGTAAGAATAAAGTATATTAGTTGTGTTGTAACAGTGTTGTGTAGAATTAAATATTATATTTTTTTTGTAAATGGTAGAAAGTTGTTAGCTTAGGCTCGTACATGCATTGTCATGATTTTTGAGAAATACGTTTATTATTATTAGGCCTCCAAAGTTGTGCCATCTGTCACCAGGCTTTCTTTTCAGAAATTGTCACGAATAACGTATTTATGTTGCCGCTGTTATTATAACAAATAGCTACCAAAAACAGATTAAAATAAATATTTAAGGGACTCCCATAACACAATTATGATTCCAAAAAAAACGCGAGAGCCACTCGCACTAGACCAATGTATTTAGTTATATGAATGACTAGTGGCTGCCAACGACTTCGACCGCGTTTTCCATTATTTCTTCGCTCCTAATAGTTGCAGCGTGATGTTATATAGCCTAAAGCCTTCCTCGATAAATGGTCTATTCCACACAAAAAGATTTTTTCTATCGAACCAGTAGTTCCTGAGATTAGCGCGTTCAAACAAACAAACTCTTCAGCTTTATAATATTAGTATAGATTACATTACAAACGAACATTCTTTAATTACAATACATGTGACAGAACTTTGACCCGACTAGAATATAAATTATCTAAATAATTGACAAACACGCCACCACCATCTGTGGTAAATAACCAATGGCAGGTCTAATTAATATTTGACCATATTTTTTGTCTAAATTACTTGTCACAGTATGAAAGAGCAACCACCTCATGAATAACTTAAACAATTTACCTCACTGTTTACACGGCTGTGTTACATTTCAATGACTTAATAAATTACGCACTGTAAAACAATAATACATAATTTTTTAATGATGGTTGCGATGGGGACTGTTGGTAACATAATGAAGCAACAAGAAACAACAATGGTATTATTGTATTTGATCAATTTTGCATACACAATGCTATACTGAATAATATTCTTAACGCAGAATGCTTGAAACAACTTGTCGAAAGTTTAAATATTACTAAAAATACAGGTATATTACGGCTGTTTGGGTTGATTGCTTGAACATTGATGAAAATACGCCCTGAAGTAGCGAAAACAAAGAAGTACTTGAAAAACAATCAACATGGATCGACCTTCGGTCTAGGGGGTTGCTGTGACAATGCCTCTCGCTATCGATTGTTGTGGCGATGTTAGTGCGATGTGTTAGATGTATCAGTCGCCACAGTACTTTCCCCCTAGACAAAAGGTCGATCCATGTTGATTATTGGTGCTAGTGCCAGGTTGTGACGTCGGGACCAAAGCTGGTGGTGTGCAGGGCTGCCACGCCGGTGAGTTGTATGTGAACTGAGGTCCGGTCGTGGGCCGCGAGGACCAGGTCGGAGTGATGCCGTCGGGTGGTGCCAAGGATCCAGGAAGCATCGTCAATGCTGCTGTGTGGCGACTGATATGTAGCGACATCTAATTCATCGCACTGACATCGACACAGAATTCACTCAATAAGTTTTCATTTTTGTTAAAATATATATAGCTAATTATACCGCAGTTTTTACTGCTTTCATATATGAAAATGTTTTAAAAAATACAACGAAAAATGTTTTTGATCTCAGGCCAAGGTCTGTCGATTCAAGTAGTATTAAATATACATAATAATAACTTAATAAAAAACTGTTTACGTAAATTGAATGCGGCCTGACATTGACAGCGGTGACATGAATACATTACCATTTGACATAATTAACTTTTACCGATGATTATGTTAAAGTATTTATAAATAGATGGCGATTACTTTATAAAATAAGAGAAACATTTAATTGATCATTGCATTTTGCTAAAAAATATAATAGTAATTCTTGAATAGTTGTAAGAGTTTTTTATTTTAATGCTTTGTATATTTTAGATGTTTGAGATCTTTACAGTGTCGCTAAACTAAAATTTTGGAAGCTATTAAATTATTTATACATTAATAGGCGTGTAACAAAGCTTTTTCACACCAAAACAAATAATTTACGTTATTGGTACAATTCATATATTATTTATTGATTATATATTATAATATGCTACCGAAGTTTCTAATGGAATACCTACTAAATACAACAGAGAAAACTCATTTAGCAGTCGCATTAATAATGTTAAATACAAGGGCACACAAATAAAAGGTGTTTATAACGTGTATTTTTATGTGTTGAATTTTTATTGTTACTACTTTGTAAACGTATTGTAAATATCAATTCAAATTGTACACCTATTCATTAATTACAAAATAATATCAAGAAGATTATTGTGCCTATTGGAAGTATTTGTGATAAGAGTTTTTAATCCTACATACTTAATAACAATAACAGATTAATCCAAGCCAATAAATTGAAACCTTAAAAACGTTACTTTAAAAAGCAAAACGTATTCTTTCGATTGCAATACACCCTGGTCTTATACTTTGAATAAAATAAAAGGTATAACATTTCCAACCAACAGAAAAACCTTCTTTTCATCAATGGAAAAAGCGCCCGTATTTTTTGTGCACGAAATTAAACAAGCAGTGTCAGTGAAAGCTTTTTCTCATCCTGCCGCATTTAAAATCTTTTGAAACGAAAAGTTGTTCAAATGAAACAAATTTAATTACAGATTTACTGGAGACAAACAGGCCCGCCACCTGAAGAGGAACTCTAATGAAATTCAACAGCAGATTCCTAAGTTTTTAAATTGTTAACCTCCGGCGCGTAGACGGCGAAGTTTGCACCCTTTACGAATGAAACTTTGTGTGTCCAACGCTCTTTTATTTTTAGCAGATAAGAGTCGAGCTCCACCATCGGGGACTAAGAGACTATTGTCCCTGCCTCACGATGTATTCCGCCGTAATAAAACGATTGTTCACGTAATAAGAATTTAAACTCCTCCCCGACAACTCTAGCAACAAGTTATGTTCTCGCGACTTTGCAGCGGCGAGAACAAACTTAACTAGTAACTATGATGGTGTTATTGCGTAACTCCGACTGCACGCCATAAAGTCTACATAATTTCACGGCCATTACACTTAATGCCGATGACTGGTTGAATAGGCACAGTACTTACTGAATATCACCATTTACCGTCGAGATGATAACAATTTAGTGAGCGAACAAGCGAGTTCAACTAATAATGTTGATAATCAAAATTTTAAGACTACGATTGGCATATTTGCTATTACTCTGCAAAGTAGATTGAGTTAAAATGGGATTTCTTTTATTAAAATCGTTCGTGTTGAGTGGATTTTTATTATTTGTTATAGTGTACGATACGGTGTTTAGTGAAGATTCAGAGGTGATAACGGCAGGGGAAACTGCCGGCATCGACTACTCCGATTTAGCTGGTGAAGCGGAACGCCACAAACACGACTTATTGAACTTTTTGAATCAAAGTCGTGTCCAGGCGCAGTACAAACTTATGTACAAATGTCTGCTGGCTAAACTACTCGGTAATTACCACTAACTGTTAAGTTATAATTACCACGGTATAGTGTAACAATAGTCGACTGAAATTTCCAAATAAAAATACTTTTAACTGATTTTTGGGCGTATCTTTTTTGCCTAATTACAAGAGTTTTATTCTGACTTACAAATATTAAACTAAAAGTAAGTTTTATTTTTGAATATATATTTTAACATCCATAAAATTTTACATGAGCCCAAATTGGTAAAATCATAGCTTTCATATCGTCTCCATTAGTGCGTACCGGATTAATTAGCTAAAATAAAATATGTTTCACAGGTACGGGAAATCCCCATCGGCGAGGTAAGAAAAATAGATGTTTGTTTGGGTAGTGGAATTTGAACCTCTGAAAGCAATGCGGATTGCGCCATCCAAACAGCGCCGGCTCAATGAAACTTAGCGCCCTAGGCAAAACACTAGATCTTTTTTGTAATGTTTGATGATCATTATTAATGTATTTACATTTTTATAAAAATAATAATAAATAAATAATCAGAACTTGAGGCAAAACAATGGAACTTAATGCATATAAGAAATCACCTCAAAATAAAAGAGTTTAATTTTGCCAATGACAAAAGAAACTGCTTAGGTACTGCTGATCTGAAAGTTTTTTACTTTTGAATACCGCGGACATGGACTCATTTTCAAACAACAAACGCTATTTTTAAGTTACTGCATTATATTAGAGTAAACATAATTAAATACGAGCGTACTAAGCAAATTGGTTAATTTGTCATATGGATTAAATAATAAGGATAACTATAGAACGCAGGTACCTTTAATTACACTACATTAGACTAGCCAAAAAGAATCATAATCATACTCTGAAGCAGCAGGCTGCGAACAGCGGATCACAATGTACACTATCATAATAATACGTCCACTTAAACATACTCCTGTTATGAGGCGACCAACATAAGCTCGGAGGGCAGAATGTCAAATACATCAGTTGAACTCTTGGTGAAATGGAAATACAGTTTCTTTAGATGCAACTCTGTAGAACGTCTCCAGGTTCTACCCGGCGCATAGTATCTGGACGTAACACATCAATAGCTGCCGTTCCCTGGCAAGTTTCTCTCAGGGAAAAGACTTACCCCATATGCGGTGGGTCAGTGGTAACAGACCTGTGGATGATCACCGCTGCCCATTGCTTGCTCAGGTAAATATGACTTTATCACAATAAGCCATTACTTTAGACTATATAATATTATTAGAAACCCACAAACATCAACAATACAAATCTGCTTAACATGCTTTTATTAAATCGATTGATTTAATTAGTTGAATATCGGCTTTACATTTATAGTCGTATAACGCATCTAACAAAAGTTTAAACATTAAGTAAATCAATTCCAGGTACACGGTTTTACGAGGTAACTCCAACTTTAATTGAATTTTAGAACATTCAATTCAACTCGGTGACTGTTGTATGAAGTCCAATTAGCACGGCACATCTACAAAATGACTTCAGAGCCCAGCTCTCTGTCTACTTTTTCCCTACTATATTTTTCCGTTTTATTCGTAAATTGTCCGCTTCATTTTTCTTACATATCCAGATTTCAGGAACTAGTATCACAAACCAGCACGTACTTTTATGCCATAGGTATTAATTTTTTTTTAAATTTTACCGATTCCATGGCACCTGGAACTGCAAAAATTCACCAGTTCCAAATGAGCTAGACTGGCATTAGCATATTAAATATATGTAATAACTAATTATGTGACATGTTTTATATATACTTGATTGGTTTATTTATATAATACACGAATTTACGTGTATTTTTGCAAACGTGCAGAAAGGGTATATAATTTAAAATACATTCACATATCAGCCTCGCCCTACCTATGTATCTACACATCCCTATGGGGAGTATTGTCGTGAATCCTGTAAAGTGCTCGCCGTAACAGCCAGTTTCCAGCCAACTCTAGTGTCAATCGGTTTGGTATCGAATAAATTCGGCAAGGCATTGCCACGCTTTTTATGGTACCCCTTGTGAATTGCGTTCCTTTTCACAATTTCAATATATCCTTTGGAGGGATTGTGTTTTTTTTTTTTGTGAATGCGAAACAGCGATCGAATACGGGACGAATCGTGTACGTGACACTAGCGAGTCCTGACATTATTGCATAATATACGGTGAATTGACTCGAGGAAATTGTCTACTTAAATAAATGGATGCGGTAACATTTTGTTAAATTATAATGAATATGTCTTAGTAATAATATGATAATAAATAGATCGCTGTGAGCTTCAATTCTGCAATCGTCTATAATAGTTAAATTAATTCGCAATTAGTGAGTTATATATTTATAGGTAACTATTCCTTCCCGCGAGTATGAATGTACGATCATACGAAATACCTGCGTGGCATGTGCCCAAACACTTAACGACACATAAATATGTTAAGAAATATCATACTTATGATTTTAAATTAAAATAAATTTTGAACCCATTTTGTAGCAACAACTGCGCAAAAACGATGTTTTTCATTAACAATAATTATTAACAATACACATAATTATAAACGTCTGATATACAACAGTTGTGTAGTCTACCACATTGGCTGTCCTCGTAATAAATAATATAATAGTATTATTAAATAAATAATGTAAAAATAACTTAAAAACATTCACTACAACATGTAGGTACCTACCTAGCCAATGTGGCGATTGGAAACTTACAGACGCTTTTCGATGTAAAACTTTAGTTTAACTTTGAAATTTGTGAAATCAAAGATTTGATCTCAAATAAAGTTCTATTATAAGAAGCAAATATTAATCTAGTTAATTTGAATGTCTTGTACACTATTGGAAATAGTTCTCGTAATCGTCACTCAAAATAAATAAAATAACCAAAAGTTAGTACGTACATGGGTGCGTGAATAATTGGTTTGTGAAAAAGTACAATTTCTAATAAGGTATAGCTGTCGGAATTTTATGTCTTTGCATTTTTTTTTAAATTTAATTTGAATAAAGCAGAATGTTTTAATACAATATCTTCAGACTGCCCAATCGCAGCGTAGTCTCGTTTCACTGTCGGTACCGACCCTGAAGTTACATACGATTGCTCCAAAGAAATTTATTGTCTACTACTTGAAAAGCGATATGTTTCCGGGAAAATGTAGGGTTAGTATCCCTCCGATATCCTGTGTGTATGTGTAACACGCTTTCTTCTTATCACTTCAAAAGACTGTTAGAAATATATTTTAGACGACGATAATTTTCGCTCCGTATCTTTTGGATATTTCACAAAATTAAGGACTTCAACATTCTTTTTCATTAACGTTACAACGAGTAATGTTGCACACATAAATATTTTTAAATTACACTATTATAATGATAAATAATATTCTATAATGATAAATTACGAACATATAACCGATTGAATCTAAAATAATTGATTTATGAACTTCTATATTTACACACACTAATAACCAAATGTCGTTATATCAGATATCCCAGGCTTAAATCCCAGTTGAAACCAGTTTACAAGTAGTACAAGTAAATATATTCCCTTCCTCTATTAATAATATTAAAATAATTTATTGCATTCCTTTATCCATTTATTTATTCTCTCTATTATGTTATAATCTCGATGCTGTTTTCTTTTTTGAGTTATAATGCTCGGTATATTAATATCTCTTTCAGCTGTTTATAATATGCTCACTAGGAGCAAAAGTAAAAAGTACTTGAAAAAAATTCGTCAGTCCTCTTGGGTTTCGGGTTGCTCAATGGTTAGAGTACTCGTCTGAAATGCAAAAGGTGGTTCGAATCCCATCTCAGGTTTCCTGGGACTGTTAATTTTATGGCCTTCGCTATACATGAAAGTTTTAATAATAATAAACTAAAAAAATATATGCGAATTCTTTCATTGATACAATGTTGCTATGAAATTTTACCATAATAAATTTCAACCAAATTACCTTCTCATTTATTGTAGAGCTCGTTCTAGCGATCTGAGCGTTCGACTTGGTTCTTCTTGGAAAACGCACGGTGGAGAAATGTACGATGTGAAGGAATGCGTCGTGCACCCTAAATATATCAGCAAAACAAAAATCAACGACGTGGGACTCGTGAGGCTGTATTCCCCACTTAGGTTCTCAGGGAGAGTGCTGCCCATAAAGCTAGTTTCGAGAGAAGCAAAGCTGCCAGCAGATGTACCAGCAATAGTCTCTGGTTGGGGTAAATTGAAGGTAAAAGTGATGTCGATTAGGCATAAATTTTGCCAGGAAATAAAAGTTCATCACCTTGACTAATTTGATCAGTCTTTTGAACAGTAACAGTTTCTCCTTTACTTATAAATATCATCACTTGACACCAGATGCTTATCTACATAATAGACGATAGTGCATATCTGCTGATGAGGGAAAAAGCGCGACCCCGTGAAACACAACAAGTGCGATAGCGCAGTGGTTAGCGTGTTCCGTCTACAATGCAGAAATTAAATAACTTTCACAAGGGCCAGTCATAGTATGGGTGACCAAAGATTTCTTATATCATGGTTCTCCATGCTTCGCAAGGCACATTATTCCGTTGGTTCCTGCTGTATCTGCCGTTATTAACACTCACCAATTTGTATTGTGCCCTCCTATGCCCTAGCAGAATGGACAGTAATAGGCTGATATTGAAACAGAGAGAAAGAGACAGAAACATCTTCTCAACCAGACATAGCGGAAGCGTGACCCGCAATAATTCACCAGTGAAAAAAATATATTCATTATTTGAGTTAGACGCTAGTTGTATTAAACATGAGATTTATACTTTTGAACCTTCCAGGAAAGTGGTCCTAGCGCCACCTTTCTCCAATCATCAACAATAAAAACCATTGCCATGAAGTTATGCAAAAGGTCTGGATTAGACCGGGGGGCTATAGACCCACCATCTATGTTTTGTGCTGGCTCCTTTGCTCAACCATCTCCAGATGCTTGCCAGGTATTCTTTAGAGAGTTATAAGATTTAAAATAACCTCAACAACCAAAATCAGTGAATGTTGTAATCAGTCTAGGGTATGTTTTAGCTATGGTTCATTTGTTCAGACAATCTACCTTTAATTGGACTTCAATAATGTGTACACACACGTGAACCTATTAAGTATTTTTGAATTTCAATATTATTAATAAAAAAATAGAGTATGACAATTGGTTAATATGAATTATGTTGTAATTTTGCTATGAAAAAATATTTTCCTCCCATCATCATCATCATCATCATCATCAGCCGGAAGACGTCCACTGCTGAACATAGCCCTCCCCCTTTGAACGCCACGATGGACGACATTGCGCCAGCTGCATCCAGTGGCCGCCTGCGACTCGGACGATGTCGTCCGTCCATCTAGTCGGGGGTCGACCCACGCTGCGTCTTCCGGTTCGTAGTCTCCACTCGAGAACCTTTCGTCCCCATCGGTTATCGGTTCGTCGAGCGATGTGGCCTGCCCACTGCCACTTCCGCTTACAAACTTTGCGAGCTATGTCGGTCACTCTAGTTCTTTGGCGAATATCCACGTTTCGGATCCTATCGCGCAAAGAAACCCCTAACATAGCTCTCTCCATGCCTCGCTGAGCGACTCTGAGCTTCTCTAAGAGGCCAGCAGTTAAGGACCACGTTTCAGTGGCATAGGTCATCACTGGCAACACACACTGGTTATACACCTTCGTCTTTAGGCACTGTGGTAATTTGGACGTGAAGATATCGCGTAGCTTCCCGAACGCTGCCCAGCCGAGTTGGATTCTTCGAGCGACCTCTTTGTCGAAATTGAATCTACCTAACTGGATTGTCTGTCCAAGGTACACGTAGTGATCGACAACTTCGAGAGTATCAGTTCCAATGACCACCGGTACGGGTGCAACATGGACATTCGACATGATTTTCGTCTTGTTCATGTTCATTTTAAGACCCACCTGTTTGGAAACGATACTCAGGTCGCTGAGCATTGTACTGATGTGCTCCATTGATCTTGCCAAGATGACTATATCATCGGCGAAACGAAGGTGAGTGATGTATTCGCCATTGATGTTGATGCCGTATTCGTCCCATTCCAAGAGCTTGAAGACGTCCTCCAATGCATCCGTGAACAGTTTCGGAGAAATGACATCTCCCTGTCTCACGCCTCTGCGCAATTGGATTGGTTTCGTGCTCTCTTCCTGGTAGCGAATCGACATTGTGGCGTTGCTATACAAACGCTTCAACACTTCGACGTACCTGTAGTCGATTTGGCATCGCTGGAGGGACTGCAGTACTGCCCAGGTTTCGACTGAATCGAAGGCTTTCTCATAGTCCACAAACGCTAAGCAAAGTGGCAAATTATACTCCTCGGTCTTCTGTATAATCTGCCGCAGCGTATGTATGTGGTCTATGGTGCTAAAGCCTTTTCAGAAACCGGCTTGTTCGGGAGGCTGGAAGTCATCAAACCGGCGTTCTAGACGATTCGTAATGACCCTCGAAAACAGCTTATAAACGTGGCTCAGAAGCGAGATTGGTCTATAATTCTTCAACAAGGTCTTGTCACCTTTTTTGAAGAAGAGCACAACCACGCTTCTGTGCCACGCTTCTGGCGTCGTACCCTCGAGAATGACGGAATTGAACAATTTCTGGAGGACTAAGAGTACCGGTTTTCCACCCGCTCGCAAAAGTTCAGTAGTGATTCCGTCATCCCCCGGTGCCTTGTTGTTCTTGAGCTGTTTGAGTGCCATTCTAATCTCGTACAGGCTGATGTCTGGGATATCCTCGGTGTGATGTCGGGTCAGCTTTGCTCTGGTGTCCTGAGCATTGCTTTCAACGGGTTGTTGTGATGATGTTTACAACTGTCCATAAAACCTCTCAAGCTCAATCAGAATCTCCGGTTTTGAAGATACGATCCTGCCGTCGTCGATCTTCAGCTTCGTCATCTGACACGACCCAGTAGACAAATTTCGTGCAAACACTTTGGAGCCTTGGTTCCGCTCCGTCGCATCGATTTGGAAATTCGTCTGTTAAGTCGACCATATTCCGACATATCGGTTGAAGATTGCAGTCTCATATCCCTCCGGTCCGCCATCAACTTGAGCGTTTCGTCTGAGAGCTTTTGAGATTTAATACGGCGCGGGGCCTTATAGAAATTAGACCCCACAGCTTGGACTGTTTCTACAAACCCGTTGTTTATTTCGTCCACAGACTCGCATTCAGCTAGACACTGAAAGCGATTGTGTAGTTGGAGTTGGAAGGCTTCGGGGTCCACGATATGAGCAGCACTAGGACGGAGCGTAGACTTCATCAGACGTGATCTTTCGAGCTTAACATTGATATTCAATGTGCCTCTAACGATTCGGTGATCGCTACCGGTTTTCACCCTGCTGATCACGGTGACATCATTGAATATGTGCTTTCTGGTTGTCATGATGAAGTCGATCTCATTTTTTGTCAAACCATCAGGGCTCATCCAGGTCCACTTCCTGGAGGGTTTCTTCTGGAAGAAGGAGTTCATTGCAAAGAGTCCCTCCTTCTCCATGAAATCGACCAGCTTCTGGCCCCGGTGGTTGCGCCGCCCATACCCAAATCAACCCACCCTCAACTCATCGCCGTTCGAAGCGCCCAGCTTCGCGTTAAAGTCCCCCATTACAACGGTGAAGTAGGTATTAGTCGTATGTATGGCTTCAGAAATCTCCTCATACATAGCCTCTACCTCATCGTCGGAGTGTGAAGAGGTCGGGGCGTAAACCTGTATGACCTTCAGCGAATACCTTTCGGTAATTCTGAGTATAAGGTACGCCACTCTGCTCGACACACTATCGATCTTCACCACGTTGTTCACGAGGGACTTGTGGACGAGAAACCCAACACCACCTTGAGATTTTTGATCTCCTTCCCGGAAGAAGAGCATGTTACCGGACTCAAGGATTACCGTATCCTGGCCCTCTCTTCGGATTTCGGATAATCCCACTATGTTCCATCGCAACTTGCTCAATTCTTCCTCCAGCTCTAATAATTTCACGTCAGTCCTCAGTGTGCGGACATTGTACGTTGCCAGGGCCAGAGTCCGTTTGTGTTGGTAGCGCCGAATCTGCCGGAGATTCTTAGCACCCCCTGCCCCTCCGTTACCTGTCCCGCTACCAGAGACAGGAATAGAGGGGCTGCCGGGGACTGGGGGCCATACAACATTGTCGTCCATCATGAGGGGGGGGGGGGTTGCCATAATCCCCACGCTTGGCAGGCGACTTGCGGATCGCAGTAGGTGGTGGTAGGTGATACCGGGAGGCGCTGCTGCCCGCCTTCCGTATAATCCCTCAGTCGGCTCCTACGACACCCACGGGAGGATATGGGGGGGTGCTACTCTTTGGCCGGCACCCCACGGCGCCTGCTTGGTTGGGAATCCCAAATTCAAATTTATACAGCCATTTACACATATACATATACATTTACACATGTATTTGTGTTTCGTTAGGCGGCATTCATTTGTTTTCTTTTTCTTCTGTTTGTCCTATTTACGTTACCCAGTTTAAATAAATGGGAAACTTGAAATATCGTGTTATTTACTAGTACGAGTTCCACCGTGGTACTCGTGCTGCGGAAACGGCTCGAAGGGTTAATGATGCGTATAGCGGTTGTGTCGCAAAAGAAAACACAGTGCGTTTTTGGTTCAAACGTTTTCGTTCTGTAAATTTCGACCTGCAGAACAAGCCCCGTGGATGGCCGGAGACCCAAGTTAATAATGAAGAATTGAAGGCTATTGTGGAAGCTGATCCATCGCAAACCACGTCCGAGTTAGCTGCAGGCTGCGGTGTTAGTGATAAAAGTGTTTTAATCCACTTAAAGCAAATTGGAAACCCTGGCATGTCAGCCAAATTCTGCCCCCAAGCGAAAATTGACCCCAAAAAAGTTACTTGTAAGCGTATGGTGGACTAGTGCCGGTGTCGTTCATTACAGTTTTCTCAAATCTGGCCATACGATTACGACAGACGTCTTTTGTCAGCAATTGCAAACCATGCTGGAAAAACTAGCTGTTAAACAACCGAGGCTGGTCAATCGCTCTACGCCACTGCTACTTCACGACAACGCTAGACCACACACTGCACAACAGTCGGCTACCAAATTAGAAGAGCTTTAATTGAAATGTCTAAGACATCCAGCGTACTCCCCGGACCTTGCTCCAACAGATTACCATTTTTTTTGAAATTTGGATAACTTCTTGCAAGGGAAAAAATTCAACTCCGATGGGGCAGTGCAAATCGCCTTCAAAGATTTTATTGATTCCCGTCCGAATGGTTTTTTTAGTAAGGGGATCAATGAACTACCTATGAGATGGCAAAAGTGCAGAGATAACAATGATTTATACTTTAATTAAATAAATATATTATATTAAAAAATATTCGACTGTTCCTCCCATACCAAACACCAATTTCATATGTAAGGACCTTATATTTATAGATTTATATATTATAGATAAGTGGATACAACAATGCTTTCATAACGCAAAAATATTTAACTTCGAATCGCATTGATATTTTTGAATACATTGCTCGACACGATTAGCAATATATAATTTTGTTTTGCTATATTAATTTGGTTCAATGAACAGGGCGATAGCGGTGGTCCGATCGTGAGTGACGGCGTCCTGATCGGCGTGGTGTCGTGGGGCCTCGGCTGCGCCCGCGGCAACTTCCCCGGGGTCTACACGCGTCTGGCGCACAGCGTCGTCTGGGATTGGGTACAACAACATATAGCACAAAAATCACTTCCCGCTAATCAGACTGAAAAACTAGTATAGGACTCTGTCAACAACAACCAGAAGACTACTACAAATAGCATTCTTATCCCATCATCTCGCATTATAGAGCCTTGAGAGGTGATTTTGATTTCACTACCTTCAAGGACAGCTACCGATAAATTGATGTAGGTTAGGTAGGATAAATCCCTCCTTGCACTTATGGATATCTCCTTAACTGTCATGTGACACATATATTCGCATATTTTTAAATATTTCATTTCTTTTTATATAGGCACCAAGGTACATAAAAACCAGGTAGAAGACATTTTGAGAACATGTTAAGAATGGAGTGTCTCGCTGATGCGTCTCGCGCACATTGTTGACCGATAGATTTGTTTATATTTAGACCTTAACCTTGAGCTAAAGAAACGCGAAGAACATCATCCAATTATCGCATTCCAATTCCGTAGTAGGTCTCCAGATGTCGTACTGTGAGCTTTTAATGTTCTGTCATATACTATAATAGCTGGCCAGATTATGGCTTTCGCTTCGCCCTCTCACGAAGTTCGTTGTCAAGAAGACTCTATGTTGCAATTGCCAATATCCAAGTGCTATATTCCACCTGCCTCATTTCATAATAGTGAAACTTTTCTGTATACTTATATGATGTACCTACTAATCTGACCAAGGAATTAGGCACAACATCTCGTTTAAAAATATATCTTTTTGTAAAAATATTCCTGACTTTTCATATTTAATTAGCCCGATAAATAATGATAAATTTATAGTTGTCCAATCTGGCTAGCGCGCTCGACACGTGCAGAGTTTTAGATTTGTTAGCCAAAAACATATTAGAATAGTTTAAATATTTTTGGAAGCACTCTCAGTAGTAATCAAATAATTTTGGAAACCAATTTTACTGGTTAATACGTATTAGCGATAATTGCATTCAATTATTTGCAGATAAATGTAAATTAGATATAGATAGGGAAGGATTCGTAACTAAAACTTAAGTCTATTACTCAAGTTTCAGTTATGATAGAAAACTACACAATTATGCAATCTTTGAAATAACAATAAAGGCAGTATAATGCAATCAATCAAAAATATCAATTGCCTTGTGGTCGCAATTTTAGTTTAAATCTGTGAAAATTACAAACGAAATGTGTCTGTTTGTAAAGTATCTACGACATACTGTTGTCACGTCCTGTGCGTTCTCATACAAGAACCGATAGGCGAAGCTGACGCTGCCTTTTTTTTAAATTAGGACCTACTTCTTAAATTTATAGTAAATTTCGTAAGTTAATAAGGTAGATTCTATTTTCATCAATTATAATATATCCGGGAATCATGACTGTATGCTTAGTGTAATATTAACAAAAACTGCATTTCACAATAAAACTATTTATTCAATCAAAAATAATAATATAAATTTTTAACTATAAAGTAAATTTATAGAAACAAAATATATATGTATATTTTCAAAAAAGATTCATAATGTGTTACATTATAATATTATAATGGTTGATTTATTTTGTTTTTGTGCTAGAATTCAACATAAACACCAAAATCTTCATTACTAATAGATATATTTATAAATGGAGAAATTTTTAATATTAAACTAATAGTACAAGAGCTCGTGACAATATTATTAAAGACTATAACAAATAGTGTGGTGACATCGACGGCACCTTAAGGATTATGTAAATATATATTATAATATAAATCTTCTTTTTATATAAAACACACAATAGAACAAGCTGTTTACGTCACACAATCGTGGTACGTGGCGACTCAGTACATCTCAGAAGACAAACACATTCAGCAATTGCTACAAGTTTGTTTCACTCCACCGGCACCAGTTGTTCCAACGTCTGACCTCCGCACAAAGTACTGAATGAAATGAACCCATATATACTGTTGATACCCTATGATACCTTTATAACTTACATATACTGAAGTAGCAACCGATACAAAGCTGTTGCATATTTATACCACGAGCTCTCAGTCTATAAGAGAAGATTACCCTGTGCATTTACATACAAATATCATCGAATGCGAATCATATTCATATTGAGAGTAAATGTAAAATGTATGTCGCTTCCGTTAAATCTATTATTTGCCATACGGAAATTTGACATTAATGTTTCAGTTTTGATATAAAAACACCAATTCGACGCCGATTTTTTTAGATAATAGTATAGGTAGTTATAATAAGGCGTTTTCCACTCGATAATTATCGGCTTTCAGGTATTATTATGATAAGTGACCGAAATATGAAATATTGCAATACCGTTAATTTAATATAAATAAATGATTAACATAATGTAAATAATTAATACATACTTAATGCATAGCTAACAATGTGTGTATATAGTGCTTTCTAAAATACACTACTTAGTGTCAACTAGGTTACGAATTCCTTAACAGTTGAAACTTAACGGGTATTTACAATATAACAATCAATATCGTAACAAAGACTAACAATGAAAATGAAACAAAACTCTCTAGATACATTGCACAAGTCACTATTGAGAAATTATTATAAAAAAACCTTTTGATATAATAAAATCGACAGATCCATTTTGTCCATTAAAGTTTAAAGCGACAATACCGATACAAATTTTCAAATTTAGAACATTCATTAGTGCTTAGAGTCATAGTTAAACCTTAATGGATGTTTGTGAAACTGGGTTTCAAACTGTGCAAATTAATACTGAAATTAAATAACAAAACCGATTATGAATGCTATTTGGCGTAGGTTAACGCGCTGCTGTGTGTTTTCTTATTCCAATAAATAACTCAAATTGTAACGTCTTAATATTAATTATTTTTAAATAAATAAATAACATTAACACATTATCAATATTTAACCTTAAAAATAAACAAATAATATTCATTATTTACAGAAGATCTATGTACATACAAAGCTCATCTCTATATTAATTATAATATACTTATTATACTACTCAATTAAAGCATTAAATGAGGCCAATATATATTTTAAAGTGTTATTTTTTATATAAGATTATTTCACAATAATTGCAAAAATAAACGACGGCGTTGTGTTTGCGGCCCAGACAGTGTTTAGTTCTTTGTAATGGAATTGTGATATTTAACGCAAAAATAAATCTTTTATTCCAATCTACACGTTTCTTGCCTACTATAAATGGATAGAAAAATAAAAAAGAAAATGGTTTAATATTATTGGAATACAATATATAAATTATTTTTTCTTGTTAATTTTTTTATTACATTAGCTTTATTATTATGTTACAAATACAACCTCTAACACAGCGCTTCCACAGCGTAGAGGTTCAATCATATAAATCTTTTATTACCTCTTGAATGATGCTGCTACAGCGCTGCGCTCGATTCAAAAATTTTAACGGTATAGCAAGCACTGCAGATTTGGAACGTTCTTCGACTAAACACAAAATATATCATGTAAGAAACAACACTATAACGGTTTATATTTTCTTTACGACAAAGAACTTATATCAAAGATGAAAATTATATCAAGAGTAAGTAACTAATGGTAAATGGTAAAGTAACAATAATTAAACAATTACATCAAAGTATACAACAACATGAGTACTTTACATGACATAAGCACCTTCTATACATTATCGACAAAAATCCTATTTTTTTAAATGGCTTTTAAATTGTAAAATCTAGTGATTCATCATCAAACTAATGTTTAACAAGTTACCACTGGGAATACCTACCAATTGTGTAACCTAACCATCAAAGAATTGTAAAGTTTGCACGAAAAAAATACATTTTACCTATAATTAACAAAATTTTACTTATAAAATAATCAATATTTCATTAGTGAATTGAATCTTGATAAATAATTATAGAACGTCAACGACCAGTGTTATTAAGTGTTCGATAGAAATCTCATAAGAAAGTTTTTGCAAAGTGTAGTACAACTTATAATTTGCACACAGAATATCACGTCAAATCGATAAGTCCACTGTCAGAATATTCTGACAACTGCTGCAAGAAATACAAGGCCGGGAACACAGTTCGCTCGGCCTTGCGATGCCTAGGTCTTTTTGTTCTGCTGCGGTCTTCTAAGGAGATGCAACGGGTCTCTCCTGTACCTCGCGAACAACTCTCTCTTGAATGTTTCAAAGTGTTTTCTATTCTTCTCGTTTTGCTTCTCCCGCCATAACGGGCGGTTTCTTCTGGCTTGTAAACCCCAATGGATAGTGAATATAGGCGATAGAACCCTGAACTGATAACCGATCAGGTACATTTCGTATACCTGAAACGAGACGTTGCAATTGAGACAAGTAAAACAACACAATCACAATACCATCTTATTTTGCCTGTTATTTTAATATACCGTTATAAATAAAACCAAAGTTCCTATGCATCATTTCTTTATTTTACAAATTTTATTAATAAAAAAATAAATAAAATGTAACAAAGATTGCTTAAAACTAATTAATTTAGTCTGAAAATAATCACGTTATTGGAATGTTTGATGGATAATTACAAAATTCCGATTTTTTTGTCGTCAAGTTATTTAAAACAATTCATTAAAATTGTTCAACATAAACAAGTATACAATAACAAACTTTTCAAACGATCATTAAATAAATAATTAAATGTTGTTAAAATAATACTGTGTATAGGAACTCGATTTAAATTTTTATTTTAAGTACGAACGCTTAGTTTTCAGTTATCACCCAACTGATAAAAACTAACGTTACAAAACCACGGAAAGTAATTTCAAGTTCTTTAAATTCAAAATTATTTGGATTATGGACAAGGAATAGAAACAGTAAGGGTAACTATCGCTACTAGGAATGACGACAAACAGATGGCTAATGGTATATCAACATAAAAAATGTCAAAGATAAATCATAATTTCTTAGGCGACATTCAAAATTGTTAGTTAAGAACTCACGCGTCAAAATTGTCTGTGTCAAGTACAGTTTTTATTATAATTATAGATTATATTTTAAAGTCTACTCAATAAATTACTGATTTTGAAACAATGGCAAAGTATAATTGACGATGCTTTCCTAACACTAAAACTCAGGGTG